ATTATATATAAAGCATTTATAATTGTAGTCTTAGAGAATGTATGAGTTTCTACAGTACATGTTTATTTTTCTTTATATTCCCAGGGTATCTGGCAATGAATGCTATAGGTGTTCAGTAAACTTGCTGGACTAAAAGGAACTGAGATGGATAAACTTAGGTTTTCACAGAGCTTCAGCTGGCCTTTGTTTCCTCCCAGGCTCAGTGCTCCTCTCCATTGTTTAACAACCAGCTTGGGAAAAAGTGGGAGACTGATTTTCAGTGTTTGCCAGCGTCCATGATTTAAATACTTCCACCATGGCCTATTCCAACCAAAAAACAAAATTTAACATATAGTTCTCACAAGTCAGTATAAGCCATCTCCACCATACCACTGGATAAAAGATTTGATGCACAATACACACAATCACTAAACTCTTCACTTCAATATTACCCATCTGTGTCCCCAAAAGAAAGAATAAAAGACTTAAAAAAAAAAAAAAAAAACAGGGAGAACCTACACACCATTCAATAATGGCCTATAACGTCAATATACAAAGAAGAGTCTCCCAGAAATAATTTTACCTTTTTTGTTTTGCTTTGCTTTTTGGTAGTACTAGGAAAGAACTCAGGCCTCCAAGCAAGTGCTTAATCACTTGAGTCATGCTACAGTCTTCTTCCTTTTCAGTTTGTTTTTCAGATAATGTCTCTTACTTTTGCTCAGGCTGGCCTTGAAACCATGATCCTCCAACCTAGCCTGCCAGGTATCTGGGACTACAGCATGCTCCATCACATCTAGCTTTTTTTAAATTGCTGGGCTTGAACTCAGGGCCTATGATTTGGCTTTTTCACTCACAGCTGCTTCTCTACCAATCCAGCCACAGCTCCAATGTACTTCCTATCAAAATCCTAATGTGTTCTTTGTTAAAATTTGTATAGAAAAATGAAAGACCTCAAGGTGCAAAAGTAATCCTGAGCAAAAAGAATGGCACCGGAGGTATCACAATACAGACTTCAAATTGTCCTGCATAGTCATAGTAACAAAAACAGCATGTTATTGAAACAAATATAGACACAAATAATAGAAGAAAATAGAAGATGCAAAAAAAATTTTAAAGCACAGCTGATTTTTATAAAGTAGCCAAAAGTATACATTGAAGAAAAAGCCTTTACAAAAAGGGGTATGGAGGAAAACAAAGTATGTAGAAGACTAAAATTTAACCCCTCTCTCTCACCTACCCTGTATAAAAATCAACTCCAAATGGATCATAGATCTTAATACAAGATCTAAAATTTTAAAACTACTACTACAAAAAAAGACAGTACAGGTAAATATTTTCTGAATAGAACTGCAATTGGCAAGAAAATAGGAACTAGAATGAACAAATGGGACTACATTAAATTTTAAAGTTTCTGCAAATCTAAAGAAACAATTAAGCCAAGCGCTGATGGTTGACAGAGGTGAGATCTGAGGATTGTAGTTGAAAACCAACTGGGGCAACAAAGTCCTTGAGACTCTTACCTCCAATAAACTACTCAGAAAAATGCTGAAAGTGGGTTCTGTGGTTCAAGTGGCAGAGTGCTAGCCTTGAACACAAAGAGGCTCAGGGACAGCACCCAGGCCCCGAGTTCAAACCCCAGGATTGGCTAAAACAAAAAACAAAAAGCAAACAAAAAAAAAGGAGGAAAGGTGGGATGAAGGGAGGAAAGGAGGGAGGAAAGGATGAATTATCAGAATCAAGAGACAACCCACATGGTTCTGGGAATGTGTCTTAGTAATAGAGTGCTTGCCTAGCATGCATGAAGCACTGGGTTCAATTCCTCCATACCACTTTTTTTTAAAAAAGAGAGACAACCACAGAATGGAGAAAAAAAATCACCAGCTATTAAATACATAAGTATATATTTATATATATATATATATTCCAAGAAATATATATATATATATGTCAAAAATATGCAAAGAGCCGGAAAAAAGTGAACAGCAAAAGAACAAATAATCCAGTTTTAAAATGGGCAAAAACCAGGAGCCAGTAGCTACCCCTGTATCATAGCTAGCTACTCAGAAGGCTGAGATCTAGGATTGTCATTCAAAGCCAGCTTGGGCAGGAAAGTCAATAAGACTTTTATCTCCAATCAACCACCAAAAAGTTGGAAGTAGAGCTGTGACTCAAGTGGTTAAAGTGCTAGCCTTGAGCAAAAAAGCTCAGGGATAATGCCCACAACTGGCACAAATAAGGAGGAGGATGAGGAGGAGGAAGGGGAGGAGGAGGAGGAAGGGGAGGAGGAGGAGGAGGAGGAGGAGGAGGAGGAGGAGGAGGAGGAGGGGGAGGAGGAAAGGAAGAAAGAAAGAAAGAAAGAAAGAAAGAAAGAAAGAAAGAAAGAAAGAAAGAAAGAAAGAAAGAAAGAAAGAAAGAAAGAAAGAAAGAAAGAAAGAAAGAAAGAAAGAGAAAAGGAGAGGAAAGGGGACGTGAGGACTCACAAAAAGTGTGTAATTCTGCCAACACCCTAACTTGAGCTCACTGAAACCTACTTGAACTTGTTTGTTAACTTCTTATGACAGAAGTAGGAAGAGTTGAAACGAAATCTAAAAAGAAAAAAAGATACTTTTGCAGTCGAATTTTCTCATTACAGAAGCATAACTTAAAAGAAACATGATTACATTTTCTCTCTAAAAGTCCAATTTATGCTACCTGGTTCTATGACGAATAAAATTTAGATATTATGAATTTTTATTATTTTCCCATTTCCAGAAATCACAAAGGGGTAAATATCAAAAGGCATGTTCTCTACAAGCCTAATTTTGAAGTCTATCAGACTCTGGACTCCCTATACCAATATTAAATTTGTAGAAATAATATACATTATTTTTCCCCATGTGCTAACTATTGGGAACAACTACATGCACAGTAGTGGTAGAAAATTTGTTAGAAGCACAGATATAGACTAACACAGTAAGTGATTCTTGCCTATATTTTACAAAGTAAGTTTGAAAGATAAGTTAAGATCAATACTGAAATAGGTAAGTGAATTTTTATCAACTAGTAAGTTTTTGGAATTCTATAATATGTTCAATGTTTATTTTTATTGTACTTTAAATATACAAAAAATAATAATGCTTAAGATTTATGTAACTATAAAAAGAGGTATTCCTAAATGCTAAAGATTAAATAAAAAATAAACCAAAATTTCAGGAATACATATAAACAATTTAAAATGTGCCTACCATTTGAGACATAGTGGTGCTGCTTCCAGAAACCTATCCCACAAAAATATCATTTACAGTATGTAAAAAATGTGTCATAAGAATTCCACAGTAGGACTAGGAACATGGCAGAATGTCTGGTTAGGAAGCATGAAGATTGGAATTCAAATCCTAGTACCATAAAACTATACATAAAAATCCAGAGGTGGTGCTCAAGTGGTAGAGCACTAGCCTTAAACACAAAGAGGCTCAGGGGTAGTGCCCAGGCCCTGAATTCAAGCCCAGACTGGAAAAAAATTAAAAAGAAAAAAGAAACAAACTAAATATTTCATTCAAAAAATTGGTTTTATATTTTATAGACAACTGTGAATATAGCCATCATTACGAATGAGAGATACCACTGGACACAGGTGGCTCATGCTTGTAATGCTACTCAGGAGGCTGAGATCTGAGGATCCAAGTTCAAACCCAAAAGGTCTGGGCAGAAAAGTCCCAAAGATTCTTATTGCCAATAAACTACTCAAAAAAAGCTAAGAGTAGTGCTGAGGCTCAAGTGGTAGAGTGCTAGCCTTGAGCACAAAAGCTCACAGCCTGCATGTAGACCCTAGGACCAGCACAAAGAAACAAACAAATAAAAAAAAAAAAACAGTAAGCCCTTTGTACAACAAAATAACAATTGTATTTTAAAAAATTGAAAGAATGAGGTATATCATAGGAAGATACATGAACTTACATATACATGTGTACTATAAAATTTATATAAAGAGAAAAAAGGAGCTTAAAAAGACATATATATAACTACTAACTACAGTTAGTCCTTTGATATAAAAGGGGATGCATGAGCCTTCCCTCTTATTTTGCATACATATTCTATTTAAATGGACTAACAGTACTTTGAAAATATCTTTTTTTTTTTTTTTTTTGCCGGTCATGGGGCCTGAACTCTGGGTCTGGGCACTGTCCCTCAGCTCTTCAGCTCAAGGCTAGCGCTCTACCACTGGAGCCACAGCGCCACTTCCGGCTTTTTTCTGTTTATGTGGTGCTGAGGAATCAAACCCAGGGCCTCATGCTTGCAAGGCATGCACTCTACCGCTGAGCTATCTTCCCAGCCCCTTTGAAAATATCTTTTACCTTAAAAGAAAAACCCTTTTGGGGGTAGGAAGGGTAGGGGGAAGGAAAAGTAGGAGAAAAATGAATGAAGGGATAACATGTTTGACAAGAAATGTACTTATTACCTTATTTATGTAACTGTAACCCCTCTGTACATCACTTTGACAATAAAAAAAATTTTTAAGAAACAAAAAAAAAAAGAAAAAAGTGAGGCTGGGAATGTGATTTGGGGTAGAGTACTTGCCTAGCATGCATGATGCCCTGGGTCTATTCCTCAGTACCACTAAAAGAAAAAGCCAGAAATGGCACTGTGTCTCAAGTGGTAGAGTGCTAGCCTTGAGCAAAAAGAAGCTCAGGGACAGTGTCCAGCCCTGAGTTCAAGCCCCAAGACTGGCAAAAAATGAAAAAGAAAAAAAAAAACCTCAATTATTAACACTTACCAAAGTGAACCCAGAATATTTATACAGAACATAGTAGTGAAAAATGGCCTGTATGCATGAACATGAGAGTCTTTGTGGAATACCAAGCAAACAATCTAAGAATAATACTTAAATGTACCATCATCACTATATGACACCACTAATGACAGCATTTGTAGTTCCTTAAAGACATGCAATTGAAAATACACTACATCACTTCTGGCAGATTAATAGTAAATCCTTTATCATTGCCTTAAATAAATTAATATTTCTTTTAATCAACACATACCGAATCATTTGCTGCCAGTGCAAGTGCCAGGTTCACTAAAAGAAACAGAAAAAAAATAAATTTACTAACTTTTCTTCTATGAAAATTAACTGTGCCTCCAAAACCCAGAATATTTTAATGCATCTCCCTTATTTGTAAAGAACAAGGATATGGAGAGAATTCAGAAAACAAAAAGACAAAAAAAAAATGAAAGTAATTTTGCAAGTACCAATAGATGTCTACCCTAAAATTAACATTTTAAATTTTATACTATCTTACAATTTTGTTCAAACATTCATCTAGTGTTTTTTAAGTGTCAGTGAAATATATAATTATTTTCAAAAACATATTTCACAGAAAAAATAACCTCATTTGATAAATAAAAATAAATATGATTCTACTAACATTTAAAAATAAATGCTAGCATTTTAGGAGTTCCAATAATCTTTGTAAGTACAAGTGTATACAAAGGATGGGCCACTGTGCACAGAGGGAAGAGAGGATACAAATATGTATAGAATATTTCCCAAACTGCCCAGACCAGTAAATTCCAGAGGCAGAGAGGTGGAAAGGAAGAATCACAAGGTGTTTTTAGCTCAGCAATGGTAAAATGCTACATCTGAGACCAATGGTCCTAAAGTAATCTATTTCCAAGACTGACTAAATAAATAGACCCTGCTACTATGAATCACATTTCCTTACAGAGCATGGCTATAAATTATGTTGGAGTTGTTTCCCTTAAAGTAGTTAAGAATTGATCAATAGGAGAATAAGGAGACAAGAAAAAAGAAAATAAAGTAGTAAAGAACATAAATTTGTCAGGACACTGGGTGGCCATGGCTATAATCCTAGCTACTCTGGAGGCTGAAATCCAAGGAACTCAGTTCAAAGCTAGTCAGTGCATACAAATCCATAAAGCTCTTATCTCCAATTAGCCAGAAGAAAGCCAGAACTAAAAGCATGTCTCAAGTTGTACATGCCAGTTCTCAGCAAATAAGGCAAATGAGAGTATGAGGGCTGGAGTTCAAGCCCTAGTACAACATGAATTTTAAGGCTAACCTAAATCAAATTCCAACTCCTCTGCCTTCTGTTGTATATAAAAGTGACTAAGTTATTTTACTTGTCAATCATTTCCTCCTCCTCTGTAAAATATAATCCTTCCTTCATAACTATTTTAAGAATAAAATAAAACACCATATGTAAAGTGTTTACCCTAGGGCATGGAATTTGATAAATTAAAAAATAAATCTGAATCTATATAATGAAGTACAATCTAACTTTTAAACAAACTGTTGGAGAATAGGCCATCTTAAAGTTAGATTCTAACTGCATTTAAACAATAGAAGCACATAATATGTTTATAGTCATCAAAAGTCATCATTCTAATCCAAAACATCACTAGCAAATATATACATATATATGTGTATGTATGAGTGTATATCCAAACAGTATTATGAAATAGTAAACAGGAGTACACACAGGAAATATAATATCAAAAGAAATATATAGACATAATCTATATCCTTCGGGATGGCAGTATTAAAGTTTAAAATTAAGGGCCTTGTGATTGCTCTGAGGGCAACTATCCACCACTTGAGCCACTCTGACAGCCCCTTTTTGCATTCGTTATTTCCATGATAGAAAATGACTGGGGTTTTACATCCCAGCCTCCATGGACCACAACCCTCTTGTTTGTGCTATGTTTCCAGGAAAACAGACCTGTTGTGCTCAGACATTGCTTGAGATGAAGTCTTGCAAAATTTCATGCCCAGGTTGGTCATGAGCTATAATCCATCTATCTATCTCCATTTCCCATATACCTAGGATTATGCCACGCCTACTCTGGTGGAGTCTGCTTAGCATGGGAAACCTGCTTTCAGATCTGAGAATGGGGCTTCAAAGAGGCCTACCTCCTGGAAAAGGCTGGCAAGCCCCTGGGAAAGATGTGTTGATGTTTTTCTTTTCTTCGCTGTATAGGAGTACCTATTAATCTTTTACTGTTCCTGCTGCTTATTGTACTTACTCATGCTCAACATTCCCTTATTTAACGCTCTTTCTTAAAAGTGTTGAGGACTCCAACATCTGATGAGTGTCTTCAGAATATGACTAACTCACCAGAGTTAAGTGCTACCCTGAAAGCCCCTCTTATGGAGGCTAGTAGACAAGTCATAAGTAAATATAAAAGTATTAGGGGGTTTCATGACGTCACTTCAGCAAAAGGAATTGTTTGTAAGAGATTTACAAGAAGCTGTAGGCACGGCCACAAATTGGAAACCCTTTAAGCACAATTGCTTTAAAAAGATTTAAAACGTATAAAGTACAAAACTAAACAAAAGTAACTATGAAGTACTAGAGTTCACGTCTTTCTGTTCAGCACTTGGTCCATACGCTCTGGTTAATGGTTAATAGGTGATAAACATCGAAACCCATTGTATTTCTTAAAAATAGAGGTAAAGCTGAAAACAAGTGCCTGTCGTCATAGCTCGTCATCCAAAAAACAAGATCAGGCGACCAGCTGGTGACCACCTAAAAACCAAAGCCTTGCAGAAAGATTGTGTAACCTTTTGCCCTTTCTCAAGGAGACTCTTGCTATAAAAGCTTGTTATCCTCTGCATTAAATCACACTCAGCATCCACTCCTCTTGTGTGTGAGTTGTCTGTTTGCCATCTCCCCACCTATTCCAGTTCCTCCACTAGGTGTCCTCCATTGTCCCAACAGAGTCTGTCTGCGGCAGGATTATAAACTTAAGTGAGTGTCCGGGGCAGGATTATAAACTTAAATGAGCATGCCCAAGTAGATATAGCCTATTTCTAAACGAACTATTATGAAAAATCACAAACTATGAGTTCAATAAGTCAGTTCTGCAGCTTGAATAGATTACAGTATTTGTCAATAAAGATGAATACATGAAATACATAATAGCATAATATATGTACCAACAAAAAAGTGAAGGGACAATTACCAAAGCATCTACTCTGTGTCACAATCTGTACACTTTGTCACATATGTTCCTATTTAAATGCTTTCCCATTCCATGGCAAAAGTCTATCTTCCAGCTAAAAGCAATGAACAATTCGTTTTTAACAAGGACTACTCTACAGATAACAAACTGCATTACACAAAACATGAAGAACTTATGGCCATGATCATGAAAAAATTTCCCATCTTACAATAAAGATACTTGCACACCCTGGTCCATTGCTGCACTATGCACTGTAGCTAAGTTATGGAAACAGCACAGATGCCCTTTAATGGGTTAATGGATGAAGAAAAAGTGGCCTATGTACAATGAAATTTTACTCATCCATCAGAAAGAATATTATGTCATTTTCAGGGAAATGGATGGCTCTGGAAAAAATTATGTTAATTGAAGTAAGTCAGGTTCAGTGAAAATAGGTTGCATGCTTTCTCTCAAATGTCGAAGTTGGACTATATATGAATTATAAATATATATGTAAACATATACAGGGTCATACATATACAAACATATTAACTGGAGGCATAAACAGGACAGGATTTCAATAGTGTAACTCCTTTGAACAGCTAACTTATGATCTAACAAAAAGGAGGGAGAGAGGTCAAGGGAGGGGAGCAGATGAGTGGAGAGAGGAAGAGTGGGTGAATTCAGTAATTATATTCAATGTTCATATGTAAAATGGAGGTAGGAAAATTAAGGGGATAGATGGGTTGGAAGAGATGAGGGATAATGATAAAAAGGATGATATTACAGAGTGGAATTCTATGCTTCCATTAGAAAGTGTAGCATTACTCCATTCATAAGGAAATGGAAAGACTTGGAAAAAAGTCATATTAAGTGAACTAAACCAGACCCAAAGAACTATAGGCTTCATGGTTTTGCTCATTTGTAATAATTAGTATATGCTTAGAATGGTCCTAGGAGAGGATCACAATGGCCAGATAGCTATATGACCATATAAAATGATGGTAATTTAAATGAACTCCATGATATGGAGTGTACGGTTTACAGTTATTTCTTTGTTCTTCCATTCCCCCATCACCATGGTTAATTCCTTGTGGTCCTCTGTTTTCAGTACCCTTTGTCTTGTACATAAATTTATCTGATTTGGGGAAGAGAAAGGGAATCATAGAAATGGTAGACAAAGGGTGACCAATGCAACAGTAATACTCACTAGACACTATGTTGGAAATGAACTTCACAATTTGGAGGTGAGGGAAAGTGGAAGAAAATGAGGGAAGAGGTAACACTATTGGAAAAGAAATGTACTCATTACCTTACTTATATAACTGTAACCCCTCTATCTATCATCTTTATAAGAAAAGAAAAAATAATGAAAAGGGTGATATTGATCAAGATTTGTTGTACTACAAATTGACAATAATAAATATTCTTTAAAAATAAAAAAATTAAAAAAATTTCCCATCTTTACTCCATGTAATCACAATGCATGTAAAAAGGTTCACACCATTAAAAACAAATCAATGTACTCTAGTCCATTTTTTTAAAGAAAGAGGCATATTCTAGAATCAAAGTATTAAGAAAGTAAAAGAAAGTATTAAGAAAGTAAAAATCAATTAAGAATCATTAGTCATTCTTAATTAGACTGTAGAAATCAAATAGTAATAGCTAAGACATATATTACAAATAGTTGATACATGTTAATTCCTTCAAAACATCTGACAAACTCTTCCATGGCTCCCTTTATGTAATAAGGAAGGAAAATGAATGGAGCTGATAACAATATTGTAGATTTATAGCTGGTTACACAACTGTAAAACTGTTATAACCAAAGTATGGACTAAACCACAACACAAGAGCTCCAGTGACATACATAGAATTCTGTACCTGGTATTTCTTATTTCAAAATGTCTTGGACTTCAATGGAACTGAAGAAATTTCATGTCAATACATGCTTTATTACTTTAAGTTAATCGTTTAGAAAAAAGTCAATTTTTTAAAATCTTATTGGTCTTGGACAAAATTAACAAAACAAAATATAGTAAAGAAAATCATTTTTAAATAACTGTTAAAAACTGCTTCAGTATGATCTGAATTAGCAAGCATTCCTATTAAAACGCTTAAAAACTCAATGTGAGGTCATTATAAGATGTGATTGCTTTGTGATTCCAAATTAAATAAGCTTAAAGGTATAATAAAGCTAAAGTATAAATATGCAGCTATGAATAAGTAATATACAGCATAAATATAGCTAATAATAATGTATCCTATATTTGAAATTCATTAAGATAATACTGTGAAGTATTCTCATCACATACACCAAAAAGCAACTAGGTGAGATGATGGATATGTTATCTAGCATGATTGTGGAAACATTTCATGATTGTGGAAATATTTCATAACATATACATTTAACAACATATCGGTTTTACAACTTTAATAGACACAGTATTTGTCAGTAAAGCTGAATAAAAGAAGTCATTATTTCTAGTGAAAAGTTTCTGGAGAGTTTCCCTTATACATTATTACACTAGAATAATCTTTTGAGAAAGGTTCCTAAGGAAGTTTTTGTAAGTAATTATTAATCTTGGCTGTTAACTTTTCCATTTCTGATGGCACTTTTATTATGGGCTCTAAAAGCAGCACTTCAGTGACATGTCTAGATAAATAAGAAAGGGCCACCAAAAAAGAAGTCTATTCATAGTATATTAATTTAAAAGAGACAGTTATAAATGACATTTTAAATAATTAAAACAATGCTAACCTTTTTCAAGCATTTTCTAATTATTAGTTTTTTATTAATTTGACTTTGCAAATAGTGAAAATTACATGATGGTTAACTGCAAAAAGATCACAATAACAACAATCTCACTGCAAGTAACAATACAGCTATGTGCACATTAATAAAGACTGGAAATTTTGAATTCAGTATTACAGTTACTAAGTATTTTTTTTAAAGTGCTTACTATGGAGTAGACACTGGGATGACTAGTTTGCTTAATTTGTAAAATCAACTTGAAAGGTTATCATCTTCACAGTTCCGTAAACTGTAATTCTTCTGGACAACTTGACCACCTACTTTGAGTAGACAATCTGGATCCTTACTATCCAAATATCACAAATACTAAGCTTACAAAGAAAAACGGCAAATGAAGAATATGCATCAGCTAACTGGTTAAAAAAATCAGGATCATAATTAATATCCTGTAATACCTGCTGTCGTAGACTTTCCAACTCCTCCCTTTCCAGAAGCCACAACTATAACTTGTTTAACACCTTCTATGGGTTTCTGTTTTGGAAGTCCTCGGGACATGATTTGTGCTCTTCTTTGTTTTAGAGTATCACTCTCAGCGCCAGATAACTTTAAAAATAAATAAAACAAGATAATCATTTTAAATAAGCCTTTCTTCAGTATTAAGCTTTATAGAGCCATTTTACCTGTTGTGACTGATCCTAACTGAAAAGATGCATTGCTTACATTGAACATCATAACGGGATACGTTGGCTTTTCTACGCTTTTCTAACATGGAAAGTAAGTTGTTTTCAGTACTCCACGAGTTTTCCTCCTCTTTATTGCCTACATTACAAAATATACTACCAAGAAAGCTACGTGCAAGCTACACACATCCATGTTCGAGCCCGCCAGCCCCACACAGAAAAGCGAGAAAGGGCAGCACACGCGGCCACTCGAGACTCGGCGTGGGCGCGGGCCCACGAGGGACTCAGTCCCGGGCCTGAGGCCAAGGCCAAGAGACCTGCAGCCGGGCCTTCCCACCACACCGCCCCGCCCCTCCTCCTGCTCGGCAGCACCACGGACCTGGCGCCGAGCTGCCCAGATTCCGCTTCTCCCAGGCGGGACAGCGGCTCCACTATCACCCCAAAGCAACATCCCACGCAAGAGCAGCAAGTGCCGCCGAGGCCTCATGGCGCTGAGTTCGACCTCAAGCCCTGCCGGGAAACGACGCGTCGCGGGCGCGAGGTAATGACGTCACAAGGCAACCCACGGCTTCCTTCCCTTAGCGACCGGCCTTGTCTGGGTTTATTCCGCCCAGGAACCCAATCTGTCGCGGTCCGGCATCTCCCCCAAGTCTCCAGCCTGTGGCAACATGCTCAGATCTTTTCACTTGGAGCATCTCGTTTTATGCTTACAGGGAGTCCCAGAGAAGAAAGATCGATTGTACGTTTTTGTTTTGGTTCATTTTAGCGGTGATGGGGACACGCCAAGGCAAACCCGCTACCACTGAGCCTCCTCTTGTTATTAGTAACAAAACCGGGCCTCGGGGAAAGTTTTAGAGACTTGATGTTACACTGAATATCCAAAAGAGTCCTGATTATTTGACTAGTTTGTGTGTGTGTGTGTGTGTGTGTGTGTGTGTGTGTGTGTGTGTGTGTGTGTGTGTGTGTGTGCCTGGCCTGAATTCAGAACCACAGTACTGTGCCTGAACTTTTTTTTCACTCAACTGGTAGGCTAGCGCTCTACCACTTGAACCACAGCTCCACTTCCAGCTTTTTGGTGGTTAATTGGAGACAAGGGTTTCACAGAGTTCCCTGCCCAGGCTGGCTTTGAACTCTAATCCTCGGATATCAGCCTCATGAGTAGCTAGAGGTAAGCCACTGTCACCCAGCTCTATTACTCTATAAAGTTCTGTAAAAGTGGTGAAAAAATTAATCTTAATTCAGGTTCTTTGGAGGTTATGGACTAATTTATCCTATCATCTTGATGCCTGCAGGTGCAGCACCATCTTGCGCTGTGAGGGGGGAGGGGGACCTGGGAATACGATTGCCAAGATGATGAGACAAAGAGAATTAACTTTTTGCCCAAAAAATATGACAATATGGATCTATTGTATTAAGTTTGTCCAGACATTTGAATTTGTTATATGAGATAAATATACCCCTATGTATACAAAACAAGTTTAGATTTCTCTACTGCTTTAGTGAAATGTAATCTTAAAATAAGAAAATGTGTTTTTATATCATAATTTAGGTCTTAAAAACTATTGTTTTTGCCAGAATTGTCCCATTCTCCTAAAGTATTCTAACTTTGACAACTCAGAGATAAAGGAGCAATCTTTTTGTTTGTCTGTCATGGGGCTTGAACGTGGGCTTTGGGCACTCTCCCTGAGAACTTTTTGGTCAAGACTAGCGCTCTACCACTTTGAGCCATAGCACAACTTCCGGTTTTCTGGCAGTTAATTGCAGATAAGAGTCTCACAGACTTTCCTGCCTAGGCTGTCTTTGAATCTTGATCCTCAAATCTCAGCCTCCTGAGTATCTAGGATTAAAAGTATGAGCCACCAGCAACACCCCACCCCCACCTCCTGCCCACAATTTTTTTCTGTATCAAAAAAAATGGTACCATAGTCTGGTACCATCCAGGTTCTTGGGAGGTGGAGATGAAAGGATCTTGCTTTAATACCAACACAGGTGAAAAAAAAAGTGGAAAATAACTAAAAGCAATAGAAGTGTGGCTCAAATGGTACAAAGAACCTGAGTTCAATCTGCAGAACTGCCCCAAAACAAAAGTATGTATTATTATGCTGAATACATTTTAGAAAATATACAAATGACTAAAAACCCACATCTAGAATGTGACATGATGTTTCTAAATGCCAGTATCTGAAGCTGGATGGGTGATTTGACATTTGAATTTATTATTTATACAATAAACTGAATCCTTGGACCAGGGCCACAGCCTTCCCTTTATAGCTCAGTAGTGTTACATTATTGTGTTAAAAGCCTGGAGGATGATCCTGTACTGAAGCAGAAGCCCACACCATCAGAATTCAGAACTATTTGTCACACAAAGCCTCAAATTCCTGTGTTCCATTATTCTCTACTACTGAACACATATTCTTTCAGCTAAGCCCTTCCTACTCTTCAATTCTGTCTTTGAGATGACCTTACCACATCGTTTCTACTAGGCTTTCCTAAAATCTGACTTCATTATCTATTCAGGGGAGAAGTTTCATGTTTGTATCTTAGAGGACATACCAAGGATGATGACACAGCAGAGCCTCATCAAGATACCATACCTTCACTGGGCAAATGTGAAGTTCTATTTTCTGCAGGCAGGAAGATAACGTATTTTTGTCCATTTTACACTGCTGCCAGAATGTGAGGGCGACTTATAATGTGACTTAGACAATATTGTATTCTACTTGGTGATCTAGTACCAAATCTTGTTAAGCCATTTATTATCCCTTCCTAGTGAAGAGCTGATCATACATAAAAATATTATTACATACATAATGATATGTGTTAATCATACATAAAAATATTAAACATCATATATATATAAACTTAGCAGATCCAAAATTTATTTAATCTATTTATATAAATGATAAACTTACTATAATCTTTCAAAGTGCATTCTATATTTTGATTTAGACATTACAAATAGAAACAATAAGGACTATAATAATAATCTAGGATAGACTGGCAAATTTACAGAATGAACTCTGGGGCTGGAGACATAGTTCAGTGGCAGACTATTTGCCTAGCATACCTGAGACCCTGCGTCCAATCTTCTTCACCACATACACACAAAGAGTACAACTTTTTTTGTTTTCTACCTTCCACACAGCTGTGTTGATCCTTTAAGTGCTGCAATTTTTATGAACCACCATGACAGGTGGGATTTTTGTTCGTTGCCCACAACTTCTTCTTCAGTAGCTTAAACAAATTACCTTCTGCAAATGGGATTTTCTTGAGCAGTAATGATATTAACTAATAAGCCTACTTTCAATCATATGCCAATCCATTTACCAACCATACTTTGACAATCAAAATGCTACTGAAATCACAACTACTTATCGCTCCTGTTTTATGCTTTTCTAGTTTTTCTTATTCTTAAAACAGATGAATAAGGTTTTGCATCAAAAGTATCTGCTCTAAGTAGTTTCATTGTTCTAAGTCATTTCATAGCTGGTTATTCCTGCCAATTCTTTTAGATACCCAATAGAGTCTTGTCAGTTAATGAAAGGCAGAAACTTTATTATATTGATGACTTTATTATATCAATTTTGATCAATCCAAACTCAGGAAAAATTAAAGTAAATTTATTTGAGGACCTTAAAATTTTCCATTCAGGAAAAGGTTCATATAGCTCATCAAGGTTCCAAAGAAGACAGAAAAAGTATTTTTATGGGTTATTGAAGGGTGTGAAGGAATAGGGATGAGTTGAGGTAAAACAGGAGATATGAAACAGATAGACAATAAAAGAATATATAAGCAGAATTGAAATATCTATGAAACAGGTTTCTTTTTTTTTTTTTTTTTTTGGTCCAGTTGTGGGGCCTGAACTCTGGGCCTGGGCGCTGTCCCTCAGCTCTTCAGCTCAACGCTAGTGCTCTACCACTTGAGCCACAGTGCCACTTCCGGCTTTTTTCTTATGTGGTGCTGAGGAATCGAACCCAGGGCCTTAGGCATGCAAGGCAAGCACTCTACCACTGAGCCAACTTCCCAGCCCCTAAGAAACAGGTTTCTATAACCCCTTGAACCTCTGGGCATAATTCAAACCTCCAAACTTCAATCATTGCAAACATTTGCCATGAAATGGTGGAGGTATCAAAAATTCACATTCTTAAAATCAGCTGCTAGAATAGACCTAAATCCTGTTTCCTAATGTCCTTACTTCAAAACCTTCTTTTGGTATTGCTTTCCTTGTTATTTTCTAAGTTAATGGAATGATTTGTTATTGAGCATCTAGAGCTTTTTGTTTTCGTTTTTGTTCCTCTTGTTGTTTCGTTTGTTGAGACAGGATTGCACTATGCATCACAGTCAGAACTTAAACTCAAAATCCTCCTAATATGTTAGGAATTTTGTTGCTTTGCTTTGTGATGCTGGAGAACAAACTCAGGACCATCAGCATACTAGGCAAGCACTCTATCACTGAGCCACATCCACAGCCCTGAGTTAAGATTTTTCTTTCCTTGACTATGCCATATGTCAAGCATTTATGTCACACAGACTTTAAAACAGCCCTATATTTGTACCTTTATAATTCCTCCCCCTGAGAGTGAGTAGGGCCTGTAACTTGCTTCAAAACAATGGAATAAAACAAAGGTAACAGGGGACCTTTGGGGGATTACTGTACATATAGGACTACAACTTCTGTCTTGTTAGATCATCAGCCAACTTTCCTGACACAAGTTTCCATTTTGCAAACAGACCTGTGGAAAACCCCAGGTGACAAGGAATAGTTCATAGCAAAAAAAAAACAAAAAACTGAGGCCCTCAATCTAACAGTCTGCAAGGATCTGTCACTAACCATGTAAGGTTGGAATTGAATTCTTTTTAGTTGAGATTTTAAGTGAAACTCCAGCTCTGCCTGACCACTTGATGGAAGCCTGTGAGCGATAATGAAGCAAAAGATTTTGAAGTTGTACCCAGGTCCCTGGCCCCCAGAAATAGTGTGATAATAAATATATGCTTTTGTTTTTTTTTTTTTGCCGGTCATGGGGCCTGAACTCTGGACTTGGTCGCTGTCCCTCAGCTCTTCAGCTCAAGGCTAGCATTCTACCACTGAAGCCACAGCACCACTTCCAGCTTTTTCTGCTTATGTGGTGCTGAGGAATTGAACCCAGGGCCTCATGCATGCAAGGCAAGCACTCTACCACTGAGCCACCTTCCCAGCCCTAAATATATGTTTTTAAACCACCAAATGTGCAGTGATTTGCTCATCAGCAAAAAATAACTTATATCAGTAACCCACATTTTAATAAGATCATATAGACAAGGAATAGTTTCTTATAGACAATTACTTTTTATGTTTTATGGGAAAAAATAACATTTTGCTAAGAAAATCCTTCTCAAAGTTTAAACCTTTGCTAGGAGTTATTAAAAGCAATTATTTGAATGCCAATAATTCACTTATGTTATAATATTTATCAAATCCTTAATTTCATATTTATAAGCCAGAAAAGAATAGTAACAATCCACTA